GTCGTACATTGCCATAATATGCCGCCTTAGCGTTTCGATTTCTTTGTATTTATTCATTCCGATTTTGTCTTTGGTGAATTTGGTATTCGTTTGTTTGATTCGATTTATTGATTGATTCTGTGCCAATTCTTTGTTGTAAATTATTTTTGTGTTAGCAAGGTCGAGGGAAATCTCGATCTGACGTTTGCGTTTTCGTTTGAATCTCTCTGTCGTTGTTGCATTTAATTAACGGAAACTATGAACTTTGTTGAGTCATTGAGCTCTGTTCTCAAAATACAACTGAAATGGATGGTTAATTGCAGATTTTATCTCTCGAAAAATTTTTCATGATTGATCTGAAAGTTGCTTTCGTTAACGATGTATGTAGTCTGCAGAAACAATGTTTTCTGTGTTCAGTTTTTGAAATGTTATCTGTATTCGATTAGAATGTTCGTTGAGTTTAACGTAATACTTGTTGATTTCGATTAATCTTATTAATCGTCGTTTTTTGTTTCGCATTTTGCCTCATTTTTGAATTGCCTTCTCATGGATTTTATCAAAATCATTGCCGTGTGGTGCTATGTTCGTCGAAGCTTTCAAATTTTCAATGCTTTCACAACAATACGATTTTGTTGTCATTACCAAAAATGTGTATAATTGTTTTAATCGAGATTTTTCAGAGGTTCTGAAGTGATGTTGATCATTCGTTCGTTGATTTATTCATCGAGATTCACTATTTGATTCAATGAAATGTTTTATTCGTTGTTATTGAAACTGAATTATGTTTTTATGTGTTGTATTCGATTAATGTCATCTCTACTGTCATCTTGCCTTTTTCTTCGATTTGTGATACATATTGCCCATTTGATGTACTAATAACCATAGTAGTAATAATAAGAATAAAAATATTGACTAACATCGTTTCATTGTTATGTCCTTATTCGGTATTTTGTACAGTCAGATTTACTGTTTTCGAAGAATATCTTCGCTAAGCTATTTCACGCTGTATTTATTGCAAAATTCTCATTCAACTGATAGCGAGAGAAATTTTTGAAACCGTTCTGTTTTCTTAAACATTGTAATTTATATGGATACACTTTAGGAATGATATTGTTCTCAGTGAATCGTTCAAAACGGGGTGGTTCCATTTAACTAATATCAGTGTTTTTCAGTATTATTGGTGTGTCACCTCATTTTCGATCGTTGCTTGTTGATTGTGGTCATTAATTAATGCAAGCGTCAAATAAATCTGCATCACTGGCTAGTAGTAATAATGCAAATAGCATGAATAATAAAAGCGATAACAACAACAATAATAGTAATAATCCGAATCGCATACCGATGCCAACAACGAACATTGCTGTATTACAGCAAATGCATTACAACGCAAATATTCCAATCGCTTCGCAGAATGGAACAGGTGATTAAAGGGTTTTGCATAGAGAATTCAGACTGAAATCATTTTATGAGCTGAGTATCAAGTATGGAACTTTTGATTGGAGAATAATCAACAAGAATTTGTTCGATGTGCCTTCTGAACACTATTCATCGATCAGACATAAATTTGAATGCCGATCGAATATTTTCCGTGTTATTCTCATAGTTGTTCCTTAATCAGGATTC